ACCCCCACCCCCACCCCCACCCCGCACGCAGAGGCGCGCCACCCGGCTGTCGGCGATGTTTCCATCTCCCCACAGAGGCCGTCCGCGAGGCGGCTCACAGCAAAGCAAGTCCTCCTCCTGAGCCCATATTGCGGCTCGGCTGCCCGCGGAGGCATCTCCCCCGAAGCCAGCCCTGCTCATGCCCAGGGGGGGCTGGGCACCCAAGGCCCCGGTTCCTCGGGGCGTGACCAGACGGGCCAGGCAACTTCCAAGCACGTGGCATCTTGGGGCGGCCGCTCTTAAATCCAGAGAAAAGGGGAGCCCCAGCGCGGGCCTGCCTTTGCGGCTTCGCTTCGGCCGCAAGCGGAGCATCAGGAGGGAGAGAGGGGCGGGAAGCGCCTCCACCGGAGCCGCTCGGTGCTGTGCCTCCTCCCCGAGGTCTCGCGGGGAAAGAACCATTTCCTCTTTTTAAGGCACTCACATCTGGGCCGCTTCCAAGGGAGCCCCACTAATTACTCCGTCCAACTCAACTCAACTACTGTCTTTCCCTCAACCACTTCGGCAGCCAGCTCCCGGTCCGTCCAAACTACGTGAAGTCCCAGAGCTTCTGCTTTGGGAACGGAGATGCTGTGCAAGTGTGTGGTAGCGGGGGGGGGGTTCTGTTTTGGGGTGGGCAGCCAGAGAGACCCGTTCGCGCCCAGCACCCCGCGTTCCTTCACGCTGCTCAGCAGCACCTCCCCCCCACCCCCCGTCCGACACTGCTTTCCTCTCGCCGATTCCTCAGCTGGATTCCCAGCATGGGCCCTGAGTGGAGTGGGGTACCAATCCTGCTAGGGTGAGGCCCTGGCTTTTACAGTTCTTGCAGTTCCCAGGACAGGTCGAGGCAACCCAGACCCGACGTTAGCCTGTTGATTCACTGCTGAAGAGGTCTTGTTATTCCAAAGCACAACTGGGAACTTCTTTCCACGCAAGCGCAGGCAGAGCTGCAATACGGAGGCCTCGGGGTAAGGATTAAAGGAGAACAAAAACAGAAACCCTTTGCCTCTAATTAGGGGTCTTCCTTTGCCAAACAGCCATTCCACAGCGGGATGACCGAGATTCACATCCCCCAGCAGGTCAACCCCTTCCCTTCAGGGAGGCTCCTCAGAGCCAACCGTTTCTGGCCTGCGGACGGGCCTCGCTTTGCAGGCCGACAGAGCAGCAGCCCGGGCAAAGGTGAACCAGGCCCTCATCTGGGGTCACCTCGCCAGCCCAGCCCCTCGCCCATGAAAGCCTACCGCCAGCAGCAGGAACTTGAACACGGTCAACCACTGGCAAGAAATAAGCCACGCATTTTAGCAAGGCCCTTTTTGGCAGGCCATGCGGCCAGGCTGTCTCCTCCGTGGGGGAGAAGCCTCAAAGCCGGTCTCCCATCTTCTCCTCCCTGGGGAGACTTGGCACCTCCGGCGCAAGCAGGACACTTCAAGGCCACTTTGAGAGATCAGCTTCCGCATGCCACAGGGCAGCGCGTCCCACTGCTTCTTGGCTGCACCTCCCATGTTTTCCTCTCTCTCCTCTGTTTCGCACACCCATTTCAAACCACTGCTTCGGCTGCTTTCCAGATGTTTCTGAGTTAACCTGCCCGACTCCTGATCTAGTGACATCCCAACCACTAGCAGCAACGAGGGAGCAGTGGAAACAGAAAAGGGAGCAACGTACAGCATGCCATTGCGTACAGGCGCTGTGCTGTGGGACTGCTCATCGAGGAATGAGTCCTAACAATGTCTTAGAAAGCCCCGCAGGAGAGAAGGCCCTGGCCCCGACCGCCACTTTGAACCGCTGACTCAGGAGAAATAGGATGGCTTAATGGTACTGCGCCCCCAAAAGGATAAGCAGATTTGTATCTAAACAATTAACCAGACCTTGGAGCGGCCTGGGGCCTGTCTGCAGCTCCGAAGGGTTCTGTGTGGCTCCTAGCCTGCTCCTTGGCTGCTGCCAGTAAGTTAGTTAGTTAAAATTAAATTTTGGCTTTAAGACTCGGTGGGAGTGAATTGCTTACGAAAAAAGTAGATGGGGTTTCAGAAACAGTATGTGTATCTTCTGGCCTTGATCACACCCACCCATCCGCTCCTTGTCACCCTGACGTGCAGTCCCAGTCCACTACGAGGGGCCTGCAGATCACCCTCGGGCAAAGCAACGTCTTGCCTTCAGAAAGAAGGCATTAGTCCTCCCTCCTTCCTGGCACACACATCGCTTGCCGATATGTCTCAAAGACCTCCCTCGGTAACGCCAGGATGATTTATTCCTAACTCACCTAGTTGTATCTTCCCATCCCTTTGACAAGAACACACGCTAGCCAATGGCTAATCTGCTGCCGGACGAGATTCCTTTCCAAAAATCCACTGCGCTAAGTACTTTGCATTCCTCTGGTAAGGAGGAGGTTATTTTTGTGTCATGTTGCACATCTTTGTTAAATAAGCCACAAGTATTGCTTACTGTAGTAACGGAATAACTCAGTGACTCCTGTGGAAATGGATATTCTCCCATTTTCCTATTAGTCCTAGAAATCCCAGGACACTCAAATGCTTGCACATTTGTACTGATTCTATTACAGAGCGAGGCTGCTGATACTTGGTGTGTTGTGACCAGTGCGCAACTGGGTCCCTCCGGAGCTGCAGAGTCAAAGAAGAGCGCCCTCCTGCACAAGGAGGCTGCTGTGGAGCAGGTCCTGAACCACTGCGCCAGGCTTTCCTTCCCACGGGGCCTGATGGCAACGCCTCCAACACGCAGCACAGGAGGTGCTGTCCTCCCCCCGGACGGCCCCTTCCTTACCTTGCCCAGAACAGTGAGACACGGCTTGGGTTCCAGCTCGGGCTGCTCCAGCTTCACGACCCCGACCCATCCGTATTCATATAAGTCTTCTTCATCATTGCTATTGCAGAGTCCCAGGGGATGCATCTAAGAAAGGAGAAGGACAGACCAAGAGGCCTCTGTGAAAACGCACCTCAAAGCACTGGGGACAGGCCACCACTCTCCCTGCTCCACATGAAGATCGAAGAACATCTAAGATGGCTGCTCGCTTGCTGAATTCAACAGCAGGAGAGGCATCGTAGCTGCTTCCCGTCCACGATATGGAAAAAGCCACTTCCCAGTGGTTAACAAGTCCCTAATAAAAAGCAAACAGGAATTCCCAATGCTCCCACTCAGGAGTTTGTGGCAAAGACAATCTTTTGAAACCCCCATACAAACTAGCTTTGAAGGAAAATATCATGTCTCCCCCACAAAACCTATGCAGAGACTTTTTACGTTTCTTGAACTCTACCTCTGTGCCTACAGAGAAGGTACATCCCAAACTATATAGGCAGAAGAGTTGTGCAACAAAGTGCTTAAATCAGTGGGGCCAGAGGCAACCTCCCTTCTCCTCAGGCCGCACGGGGCAGACCTCCTGATCTCTTTGGGCAGCGGCCGCAGGAATTTCCGTATCTCGTGGTCGATGAGCCTTGCTGCCAGGGTTCCAGGCCTCGGACTGGCGTTCTGGGCTTTGTTTTGAACCCAATTAATTCTCATTCTATGTATTGTCGAAGGCTTTCATGGCCGGCATACGATGGCTGGTGTGGGTCTTCCGGGCTGTGTGGCCGTGGTCTTG